ACTTTAAGGGTGGATACAGGACATGTAGCAATCGTTTATTGCATAGGAATGTATGGGCGCAAGTACCATGGTGAGGCGCAAATAGAGGAAATAAAAGAGAAGAGAAATGGAGTTATCAGTTGGCTGCGTTGACAGTAGGGGGCAGGGGATGTCTAGCCGCCGTTCAACATGAGGGGAAAGCGCCAATTGCAATTCTGCTGACATCTTCTATGGGAGACTTTACGTATGCCGAAAAAGCAGACATGAATTACATGTACGGCCGTGCAAATGTTAACGGCAGAGATGCGTTCCAAATGTATCACGCTCAGTTTCCTGATCGACGAAAGCCGGATCATAGAATGTTTCAGCTGTTGCATCGTCAACTTCGGGAAATACGTTCGTTCCAGATCACCAGACGTGATGTTGGCCGACGAATAGCTGTTCGCAGTACAAGCCTCGAGGAAAGCATCTTGAACATTGTCACTGATAGACCCGAGTCAAAGACTAGAGTTGTTGCTCATCATATACGCGAGAGTCATCCAACCGTTTGCAGTGCGTAAACCTAAAATCGCTGACATCTCTTCCATTTTCAGCGAGTACAAGCTTTGAATCTGACAGACTATCTTCTCCGACTGCCAGTGGGTGGTACAGCAATGTATGCTGCAGTTGGACTTCAAAGCTCATGTGCTGAACTGTTATGAACAATTATTGAAAATAGTACACTTGCTAACGACGCTGACAATAAACACTTTGTCTTTCATTTCTTCTTTTATTTTTTGTGTTTGTGCCTCGCCACGTGATTTGCATCCATACATTTCCTGTACAATAAATAATTGTCACAATGTCCTGTACCTACCCTTAAAGTTTGTACCATAAATTTGGGACCATCCTGTATACATTCAGGTGATAGCTCTTCTGGAACTAGTATTTATCGTGAAAATCATTTTTCGGCTCTTACGCAAAAGGCTTTGGTGCCCCAAACTTCGATGCAGAAGTAGAGGCTGTTAGACAAGCAATATATCTTCTAGTCAACCTAGCGACCTCGTACAGACATGCTGTTTTTCTTGTGGACTCACATTTAGCGATTCTCGCACTTTCTGGTCCTTCCAAAATAGCGATTCCTCAAGGTTAAAAGAGACGAAGCAACAAGTTTACGAAAACAGTACTGATTGGGCAATCCCCTTCCAATAAATCCCAAACCACTGTGACATAACATGCAATAAAGGGAAGACATTCTGGCTAAGCAAAGCTACCCCTTCTATTGCCTATTATTCACTTATCATGCAGCCAGGTATTTTCAACAATTTTCAAATCCACGAAAAAATTCATACGCTATGCTCAAGAAAAGGATGCCAAGGGCAAGATTTGGGAGATCCTAATCAATAACCCAGTCCTAATGAATCTTCCAAGACTGATCCTCTCTGCTAATTTTAGAATTTTAATCAGAAACGACTATCTTCAAGGGCACCTACACCGAATAGGTGTGAAAGAAAATTATGATTGCCCTCTGTGTTTGAATGGAGAGGTTATGCATTTTAAACACCTAATTGTTTCTGCTTCCCTGGCCAACATTAATTTTATTATGTTTTGACAACTTTTCTTCCAAGGCTAACTTGTATTGTGCTGCACGTAGGGAAACGGCCTATGGGGCTTATATACGTAGACGTAATAAAAATATACATACTTTTAGATGACATATACTAATTATCTTTCTGTGTTAGGTTTTTTTTTCTTTTTTTTTTTTTTTTTTCTTTTTAACAATATACATAACTTTTTTCGAATAATATCAAAGAAAATAAAATGTACTTTTTAAATTAAATCTTACAAACATTAAAACTGTGTGTACATTTCCCCAAAATTATTGAGGAGAAAAAGTTCTTATACAGTAACAGGGAGATTTAATAAAATTTAAAAGCACCGCTATTAGATCTGATGTTGGTCCTATTACTGTGTTGTTGTTACTCATGTCGCCTGATCGACACTAACACAAAATCAATGCCCACGAAATTCATCATGGCAAGGGGCTAGTAGTACGCCTGTCATTGGACTTAGCTTTAAGCACCATGCAGGTGACAGTATGATTTAGCTCGGTTCCACCCCAATTTAGAGAGAGAACATCCTGGGGGTGATCAGAGGCTTCCCACCTCTCTTCACCTTCCACCAACCTCACAAGAGGACTTGCGACTCGACGTCTATATAGAGTACCCCCACGCCGCAAAGGCATTTACAAACATCCATGCTTTCTCCGGGATTCAAGCCTAGGCCCTATGGCACAGCAGTCAGCGTCACGAACCACTATACCAGATGGACGACACTATTATTGTAAAAATATCTAACATAGAAACTAATAGATAATATTAAAATTTTGAATACCCCGAAGAGGTCCATTGAAAATTGCGGTTCCCATAGAAATATTATTTTTGAATACGAAAATCGATAATTTTTTTATGATCCCCAAGTATTTCCAATATAGATTAATGGTTACTCCAGCGTCATATTTTCATTATAAGAATTTTCAGATTCCTAATAATACTTACGATTTATTTTTCATAAGTTGTATAAGACATTTACAGAAAAAGGAATTTACCTTTAATAATAATCTCGAAAAAAAAATGGGACACTTAATAAAAAATTAATAAATGCATACTATCTTACACATAAACTATTAAACGCATCTTGTATAAATAATCAGGTTTCCTAATTGAATGAAAAAGAAATTTTTGAAAAAGTAATGAAAGAATAAAAAATTACTGTTTGCATTGAAATTTTTGATAGTTTAATAATTCAGTTGCTATGTTAAATAAATTAGTTTTAACTTCTGTTACTAAATTCTTCTCTCTTTTGTGCCCAACTCAAAGAGTTTCTATTTCCCTTAGTCGAAGAATTAGAGAACGATAAGATGACCGCAGTAGAGAAATTCTGGCCAGTGTTGTTAAGTCACGGATTCGAAACCAAGTGCCGCCATGTAGAATGCCTGATGTAAGTTAAATTTATCGAGGCTTAAAATCCTCCCGTTGGCGTGGAGTGGAATTTTGGAGAGGGGCTGCCAGCTGAGATATCGTCTTTTCTCATTAGACCGTAGTTTAAAAAATTACGAGTTAAGTCTTTTTACACTGATGCTTTCTTCCGTTATGTTTCTTTTTAAAAAATTGGGGAAGCGGTTCTTAAATGAACAATCTTCCTTTCGATGCTGAAACATTTTTTCTTTAGAATGAAGGACTAATTAAGAAGAAGTAGTATCAACAGAGGAAGTGATGGCATCAAATGACTATATAAATAAATGAAAAAGACTTTAATTAAAAAAATTTTTTATGTTTCCTGCTCCCTCCTCCCCCCTTTGGGCCTGTACAGTGTATTTGTATCTGATAACTTTATTACATTTGATGTATTCGTAAGAATTCTGTAATATAATGTATATTCTTACTTTTTATATTTTCTTCTTATTATTATTGCTTTGTATATTTGTATTAGATTTACATATGTAACCACTGGTCCGAGGTTCAACCCCGGGATGGGCAACGTTGACTCGGCCTTTCATTTCTTCAGTCGGTCGATATAAATGAGTACCAAGCTTGCTTGTGAACATAACACCGGGGGTTTCACGTCACACTGACCACCTGACGCGAAAATCTGTTCATGCACCTCAGGGCCCAAAGTCGCGTATACTGAGTTGAGCATAGTAAGCCTTGGTCCTCATGGGCTGTCGTGCCACTGAGTTAAGTTATACGTATGTAAATCGTGCAGTTACCTTTAAATTTGTATTATGTTATTTTACTGTTACATATGTCTTCTGCTGTTTAAAATGTAAACTTTGATTTTTTCTTTCTTTCTAAAAAGACTGGACATGGGGGGTGTGTGTTTCCAGAGAGATCGGTATGTAGCTCTAAACCTTCTTCGGGTGAGCTCGGTTCATTTGGGCAATCTACCAATAGCCTTCATGCTGCTCCAGAATGTGACGAAAATTAAAAATCAAATCAATCCATAATGTAAGATTGAAACAAAAATTTAATACTGTACATTGCACAGATTCAAGAAAGCGCTGGCTGTCTGAGACGACGTCAGTATTCTTGTAATGGTAGAGATGGAGAATTCTGCGACAGGTTTGTAATAGGTATATTTGTTTTACTCTGGTCCCTTTGCAATCTGGATTAAGTTGTGGTTTAGTGAAACAATAATTTGCATTTTAACTATTCAGAATGAGTGCAATCGTCGTTTTTTTTTTCTTATTGCTTAACATAATTGCCATGCAAACTTCAGAACTGATTTGGATTTAGATTAGAACTTTCTCACTTACCTTTCCGGTAAGACAAAACACGTCCCATCCCCAGAAACCGCATCGCTGCCCACCTTGGTTGCTCCCGATTCTGCGTTGTGTGTGTGTGTGGTTGCGGTTTTATACACTCATCAAAAACCAAAGTACTTTTTGGAGTAAAAAAATTGGAATTCGCGAACATAACTTGTTAATACATTTAAGTTTTCTGTGCATCTTAAGACATATTTAAAAATTTTTAATTTGTCTATCTTAAATAATACTGATATCACACACATACTTAGGTTATAACTAATTTCAGACTATGCATATTTTACTATGGATTTTTAGTGCATACACTTAAAATTATAGCTGTTGTAAATTTTGTGTGCATTAATTATTTCATTTCTCCGAATTTTTAAAGGCTCCGAAGGAAATAAGCCTACTACTAAATGACTCAGATCGCTTGAAAAAGCATGCTAAGCATGCAATTTTCGACATGGTTCAACTTATAATAGTAAACAAGTAATATTACAAAATTGAGTCATTTTCTACTTAGGTCAAAAAAGGAAATTTTCATTTTAATTAATTTTTATTAAATAGTTACAATTAATAGAAATATGTATATACATATGACAGAATCACAATATTAAGTGACAAATTAGAAAGCGATTTTCCTTGCAACTTTCCATTTTCCGTTCTATGTATGGTGTTGAAATATTTTTTTTTTGTTAGTACAGTAAAAAAACAATCACATTCTCCGATGTTAGGCTATCCCAGGTGGGATTTGAACCCACGACGTTTGGATTAGAAGACCAACGCGCTGTTCATTGCGCTACAGGGACGCAACGAACGATTTTCCTTTCTATATATGCTGTTGGAGTGGTATTTTTGTTTGTTACTATTTATTCATTTTTTGAATTTGATTAATGAATTAATATCTTAAAAACTATATTAACATCAAGTGTCATCCATTACAAGTTTTAAAAAATGTATTTGAACTTGTGAATGTATGAATAGAAGGTATTTTATTAACAATTGAAAATTTGAACAAGATATATGTATGTAGGATTGATTGATTGATTGCATATATTAACGTTGCACTGTTCAGCTACACGAGGGCTTTTGGCGACGGACCACGTAATTTTGAACCATGGTCAAGTGACGTGGACGACACCTGAGCTGGCACCCTCCTCTCCTAACTACCACACCACACCAACGGGAGGACGTTTCAGCTCTCGACAGATTTAACGTGCATCGCTGCCCTACATGGCGGGTCTTTAGTGGTACTGGGCTCGAACTCGCGACAAGGCAAGCCACGATCCGATACCTATACCACTCGGCTACCGCGGCCACTATATATGTAAGAAGAGAGTGAACTAATAGTAGGAATTGAAAAATGTTTGGAGTTTAAGTGAATGTTCCAATCATTGCATCGCTTATTTGATTCCTTATTTGTTAACATCGCTCTTAGAAACAACACATGGACTTCTGGCAATGGACCTGGTAATTTTGAATCATCATCAAGTGACGAAGACAACACGAGCGGACAATCCCTTCTAATTGCGGCAAACTTCCTTTGTTTGCATGTTTTTTCTGTATGACAGTGTCTAACAAATCCTTTAACTAACTCGTTACTTAAGGTAAAGCACTGTTTAATGAAAAGTCTTAAATAAAATGTAATTTATAAACTCCTTGAAGTTTATGTTACGAGTTTAGTATCTTTCTGTGTGTTGTCTAAGAGATACACAAAAGGCATAGAGGCCTAAAAGACCAAGCCATATAAAAAATTCTAAGCAGTTGCTGTTTAAAAAAAGAATCATTTAATTAACCCATTCAGGACCATGATCATATATATCTGATCACTTCAGGAAACACGGTATGATATGTGAGATTGCGTATTTCTCGTTCTCAGGTCAGTGATTATACCGGTGAGATCTTAATTTGAAATGATTATAAACTATAAATTCCTGCGTATTTATTACAATAATGATTTTATATGAATTTTTAAAGGAAGTTAGGTTTAACAGGAAAAATCTCCTGGTTCTGAAGGGGTTAATACTAATATCAATACAAGATAATCTCATAGAATATTTAATTTCTAATGTCTGTGCTACAAGTATTTTTAAATGTAAATTTTTACGCTTTAGCAGTTTTTTCTTTTAGCTTTAAAGCAAGTTTTTGATATAATCTTCGCTAAATTTTAAGATTGTAAAATCTAGCAAGTATCTTCAAATACACGCCATGTTCAAGAAAGCATAAAATTTTAAACTAAACTTTTCAGTATAAAAATCTTGTTTTTTCCAAGTAACGGAGTAGTTTACTGGCAGATCTGCATTTAAAATTATTTCATTATTGACCTAAATTCAAAATGGTGGAATGTGATTATTTTAATAAGGTTTTTTTTTTTTGTTTGCGAAAATTATGGCGGATTATATTTTGAATGCCCTCCGCGCGGACTTTGATATCTTCGCTTAACTATAATATTATGTATTATAAAGAGACCCTAAACTGTCTTTTAAAATGATTTTATTGATGTAATGTATAATGTTTATAAAATTTATTTTTATACATGTTCTCAATAATGCTAAGTAGCCTGGAGCCTCCTAAAATATATGGTACATATTCGAATGCTGTCATTTGTCCCTTTGCAATAGTTTTGGTATTTTATATCTCAGTAATGCTACATGTCACATGAATAATGATGTGAAGAATCGAGAACTAAGAATATGCTCCTACAAGCAGGGACGTCTTAAAACATGGGTCAACTGGGCCCAGGTCTCGTCTCGTTCTCGACTCTGCCTTAATAAGATCCCGATTTGAATAATTTCAATGGTCAAATGTTATTTATGGTTGTATTCTCCAAAAAACTAAGAATTTCGGACGATATGTCAACCGGCTATATGTGATGATTGTCCTCCATGTACAGGTTTAAGCTTACCATAATACACCATCATTACTCATTCAGTCAAAAGGCAGCAGTCGGTCGAGCCGGTTTGTGCGATTGTAAGTCATGCACATTTATTTGTTTCGGGTTATTGTTTATATGATTTTTTGACACGTATGCTATGCACTGTCTACTATTAAGGGTCATAGGTAGGGCCTACTTTTGCGTAGGATCCCAGGGCCTCAAAAAGTCTTCAGATGTCCCTGCCTAGAAGGTAATTATTAGCAAGTTTTCGCTTTTTAAATCTTTTTTCCACACACTCGCTTTGAAGAAATATAGGGTATAAAATCCAACTCTTTAAACGTCCGGTTGTATAAATATGCAAATTTCGGGTAATGAATAACTAAACAAGTTAAACTGAAAGATCTGATATAAAAGTTTGATCATGTAGTTATAGCGCGGGAAGAAACAGTCGATATAAAGCTTTGTACGAATAATTTTCACTATACCAACTATTTCTTTTACTTTTAATAAATAAAAATTAATAATTGTAATAATTTCAGTTTCATTTGTGTGTGGCTAATTTAGAATAGACTTAAATATAAATACAAAAAGAGCATCTGCAATTTTTCGAGTGTTGTGGTCAAGAAATCATGTAATTATTTTATTTCATACTTTTTAGGGGGAATCAAGCTAATAGAAATAGTTTTAGAATAATTTTTTTTATTAAAATATTCATTTTGGGTCTATATAGGGTACCATGGCCCATAGACGAGCTATTTTTATGAGAGTCATATACGTTACTGCAGAGTGAATTTTTTTTTGATTTTAAGCAATGATTCTACGAACAAAATTAAATAAATCTATTTTATTTATTTAAATGTAAGAAACTGTATAAATACAGTAAATTTTATATAACTTCGAAAGGAAAAAAAAAAGACATTATTGAACCAACAAATTTCTGCGTAGAATAGCACGCAGGCAGGGAGCTGTTGAACTTGTTTGAACATGAATGAGACAGAATAGGACCCAGAGACTAGTTTATTACCTCTTTTTATAAAAGGATGGTTTTTCGTTACATAACAGCATTATATTCTTTCTTATACATCGGTGGCGATAGTAAGAGTAAGTTAATATTATGTACAATATTTATTTTTGTATAAAATATATATATATATATATAATGTATTTTATATATAGTTTATATAGTACATATTATTTAGTATAATATTTGGATAATGATTTTTCATAATCACACACACACACAGTGCTTTTATTACTTTTTATAGGTTTTTTTCATTAACTTTTTGAGGATGGCTGGCCGATATAACGGCCAAGAGAAACAGACCCTTAAAAGACGGCTCTGGCCGTTGTAGCGGCCATGCAATGCTTTCCCCTCTTAACAGCTTTCGAAACAGCATGAGGCCTATTACAGTCCTGGAACATCATTTGCTTGACCGGTTTCTTTTGTATTTAAAAGGGAGGACGATACAGTTCCCTCTTTCAACCGTATCTATAGAAATCCCTCTTTTCCCCCTTATGCTTAAATTCTCACTAGCGGAGAGTGCATAGTTATTTTTGTAAGCGATTTTGTCATTTCGATTACTTACTCATTTCATTTTAAATTAATTTGATTCCTTTTTTTTAAAAAAAATGCCTAAACGTAAAAGAGGACTTACCACTGAAAAGATTCAAAAAGTTTTAGCTGATTTAGAAGACGAAATTTTTGATGATTCTGATTTTGATTGTGAGTTAGAAAATTAGGAAGATGATTTAGATCAATCTTTAAATTTAAAGCCAGAGGTTAAAGATGAGGTTGTCTCCGAAGAACAAAGTAAAATAGTCTGGGATGACCCACAACTAACCCATAAAGCGACAATTTCACCTTTCACAGGAAATAATGTGATAAAATGAGCCGCTGTACCGTGTGTTTAAATGATTCTTATTATAATTTTTCATACTAAAGGATGACATTATTTTCTTAATGCATGTTTTTGTTACTAATACACGCATAGCTCTCTTTATATGCATCTGCCAAATTTAAAAATGCTTCAGTTCTACAATTTTATTAATTTTTATACCTGTAAAACAACTTAAAATATATTTGTGTAGAACTTTAAGCAATTTTGCATTCAATTTTTGATGAACATTTATGCATTATTACACAATGTATTAATGTACAGAAACGTATTTTTATTGTTACCTTACGTTATGCTTAATGAAGAAATTTTTTAAAAAT